GTACCGCCACAGCGAATCATGCTGATCCTTAATGGCACTACTTTAGTTAGGAATAAAAAATCGGGACGTTTCCGTTTTCAGTCAAGATGTTTTGTCATTTCACTTCGGATCCATGTCATTCAAATACGTCTTCGCCGTCATAACGTGTTCGACTGTCTATATTTCTCATGGTTAAACGTGTTGATAAGAATTCGACTGTTACGATTGCCATCGAGAGCTCAGAAAACTCGATCGAAGCGCAATCGTACGAGGTGATTACAATTTTGAGTCGATTATGTCGTGTTGCTCACGTGAAGGGTACGAGAATTTAGTGGCGCATTTCCGGCTTTCAATGACACTTACCTGTAGTTATCAATTAAAGTAAATTAGGAAAAACGTCATCGAATCGCCATGGTCAGGTGCTAGCAAAACCTTACAGATGCACGAAGGAAGTTAATTGTAATAGTTCCCAGGATCGACTTTCTCTTAACCTCGGCATTGGAATATGAATGCGTCGTTTTCTTGTTCAGCAATCGCGAGGTTTTTAAACAGCATACATTTACTTCCATAAAAACACAATACAATAGAACGCTAGCTGACGTTTCGGCAGTATCGCCTTCTTCAGAGCCTGGAAGGGTACGCTGATATACAATCCACTAAGCCAAACGCTTCAATAACACTTACACAAAGACGAAAGACTCTTTGGTAACTACACGATCAACAACTTCTCGAAAAACCCACCGCTTTTTCGTGACTTCCAATGAGGAAGTTTAGAACAGCTTATTATAGTCGCATGTGGTTGACGACTGCACCATCCCACATCAAAACTCGATGCGAACGTACGGGATCAGGTCGCGTATGACCTCCGGGCATTCGTCCCTGCTATTCATTGTAGGGTTTTTTGGAGGAAGTTAATTGTCACTAAACAAGGTGGAAAATTTTACAGACACGAGCAGTGAATTCGACGAACGAGTTGATTTTGATTAATATTTAATAATATATTGTTTTTTAGAATAAGGACAGAGCAGTGGTTAGAGGGACACTTTGCAATGGACACTGAATTGATCGAAGATACGATCATTTAGTCCAGGTTTATTAGATCTTTCTCACTCAGTGGTCAGTAAATAAGCACCAGGTATGTCTGGGAAGATGATAACGCTGCCATAATTCAACCGAAGACCACCACAAGTCGTTTCATAGGCCAGATACGTATTCTGGCACCCTATGATGCCACGAATTGAGTGAAATGCATGGCGATTCGATCACGGATTGATTGATCAATTCTTTTTATTCTTCTTCGCTCTGTTGAATTCTCACCAAAAATGTAAAAGTTCTCAAATGGAAGCTGAAAATGCCATGTTGTATGTTACACGTAATCCTAGATGCAATACAATAGTAATGTCTCGAGGAACCACTACCAGTGAATCTTTCCAGAATTTCCTCAATTAAGACGAACAAGCTCATATACGAATAGGTTCTTTTTGCTTCCTATCTTTTACACTTGCGCTTGCCTCGTGTTCACGTAACATGGATGAGACGTAAGCTCCATGGAAGAGCACTTTGTGTTGTCGAATGTATAGGCCACGCTGGAAGTATCCCGTATTAAACAAATGGGATAGGGAATCCGATTTTCCGACCCTGTCGACGATCAAAGATCGGAGACGCCCCAATGCATTCTAAAATGTCGAATGTCAGCTGGAATGGACACGTGATGCATGTGAACGACAACCGACAGAGTAGACGCTAGCGATTATGTCCTATGGGATGTCAAACGTACAATGCAAATACTACGTCCTAACGGTGAGAGTTCTTCACGAAGTTCCTGGAGGAAAAACGTCGTGCTTATGGAATTTCCGAAGCGAACAGAACTCTAGGCTAGTTTTGCATACGGCAAGGATAGGGCGAGACTTTACTGATCCCCACTTGAGCCATTCGGCAATCAATCGAGGTCAGGTGATACAGATGACACCTAAGGTGTAAAAGTGCGCTAGCCGTTTTGACGGGTAGGTAAGAAAACATTTGGGGACCTTTGTTTGGCTATTCAACGACAATATTCTGTTGTACATTAAATATCTCACGAATTTCCAAACACGCTTGCGTTCCTGCGGGTTACATGTTGTAGTATTTCTTTGTTTCCGGAAAGCCTTGGGATTTTTCTATCACAGAAACGCTTCAATCCTTTTATTGGTCTTGTCTGAGTACCTGTTTATTAGAAGACTCCTCGAAAAAACTTATGAATTGGAAGGGAACTTTTGAATTCCAGGGTAGGTAAATGTATGAGTACATCTCCGCTCAGCGAACACTGTCTCTCGCTAGAAGGTCAATCAAATTGCCCGACTCGATGAGAGAAACCCGTTGGTACACACAAAAGCTTCAAAAATACCGTATTATCGCTTAAGGATATTTCATATCTCTTTCACACTTTTCTTTTCAATCCCTGTATTCACATTTTTCGCATCCAAGCACAATGAAGTTTATGTAAGGCGTTAGTATTTCTACTCCTTGGTAAGAACAATTACACTCCATGTGAAAAAGTGAAAAACACTCACCAGGACCAGTTTCGACCTCGGCAGTCAGGTGCTGGTCGTCATCGCTTTTATCACAGTTTATTGTAAATTCTTTGTTGTCGATTATGACTCTGTTCAAGACGCCCATCGATGATGACGCTGTATGGGCGGGTTGTTGATGAAATCGGGAGCGATCTGTCCTCCGCATCATTCTTCGTCACTCACTCATCCAGTACGGCTGACTTATCACTACCGCAAAGCGGACCATTGCGCTTACAACTATATCTACTATTAACAGATCCCAAGATTGACTTTCTATTAACCTCGGTATTAGTTTATAAATCTATTGTTTTCTTTTTTACAGCAATCGCGAGGTTGTTATTCAGCACACTTCTACTTCCTTACAAATATAACACATACAACACAACGGTAGGTGACGTTTCAGCTGTATCGCTTGTTTCAGGGCCTGGAAAGGTACACTGATACATAATTTTCTAGGTCATACGCTCCAACAGCACGAACAGAAAGATGAAAATCTGAACGATAATTACACGATCACCGTTTTCTTGAAAAACCCACCGTTTTGTCTGCTTTCCACCAAGGAAGAGCACCAGCTTAGAGTTGATCACTGCACCACCCCACATCAAAAATCAGTTCTGAGATACGGGGTTAGATCACGCGTTATCTCAGGGCCTTCCCTGCTATTCATTCTTGGATTTTTGGAATTTATCCAAAAAGCCTCGCAAAATTTGCGCGTTGGTGTTTTAGGATCCCATGCGATGATAGCGACTTTTACATCAAAATCTTCACTGCTATGCTTTGTATCCTGTGCGTGCCCTATTTTGATTTTCGTTTACCATCTGGGTGTTCTTTTATGCGGATACATAAAGCTCTGCCCGTTTCGCCAATATATTCATCTCCGCAATAATTACAAGAGATCAGGTATATCGTACCTGAGCTCATGCAGTCACCGTCCCTGCCATAAGAGCAGATTACGCAGTTTGGTGTTTCACAACGGTCATACAGGCGGTTACGAAAGCTAACTGACGACGTAGAGTATCGGGTGGTATTTCAACTATCGCTACCGATTCCTCTAGATCTACCCTTCTTAAGCATCGCTTTGTCGCTACACTTATTTCATTGCTAATGAAGGGCAAGATAAACAGGATTTTGTTGTGGCCAAACCTTTCGTTTTGGGGCGTCGCTCTCGTTCTAAACTAAAAACTAACTAAACTGACTAATGTTTTAACGTTTTGTTTTCTGCTGCCATGAAATTTATAGAAGGCAGAAAACAAAACGTTAAAACATTGTGATTTCAACTACAGCCACAGCTTAACTGGGTTCTATGCCGATTTGCGCTCCCCAGATCAACCCCGCTGACGGGTGATTGCTGTGGCAAAAAGATCGATAGAAATAGCTGAGATACATGCAAAGCGAAGGACCCGGATGGTGTAGTGATGAAGTGCGCTGCTCCCCGGTAAGGACAACAGCGCGTTCGTTCCCCGCCATAGACACCTGCGGTCCAGAATTTTGCAAATATCTCAGCAACGTTGTTGTTGTATTTCGTTTAGTAACCTGCCATGAAATTTATAGAAGGCAGAAAACAAAACGTTAAAACATTGTAAACTGACTAAACTAAAACTAACTAAACTATCTCCTGGGGTTACTGTTTCGTAGCCGTTGGAGATGGCTATTTGCCGAGCCAAGTCGCACGATTCTTCCTTTAATTCCCTGGAAGTGCACACAAAGGTGGCTGTTCGAAACATGTTTCTCACAAGCGCCATTTTTGTGTGTGAACGGTGGGAAGAAAGGAAATGAACGAGGATGTTCTTGTTACTTGGCTTTCGGTACCACTTTGTCAAGTAACCGCTACTTGACAGGTTTATTTGAACGTCCAAAAGCGGAAGCCAGTTTTTTCTCGGTTTTTCCCGGGTGAACTTTATGTACTCGGACTGCTCGTTCATTAATTCAAATAATTCAAAGCATTTGTCCATCTCCTCCTGCGTAGAGAAGACGATAAAACAATCATCTACATATCTGCAGTAGAGTAGTGTGGTTGTGGTCAGTTGTTGACGTTTGATTGCTACTGTAAATACAAATCTGGGCCATCTGAATCGCTAAGTAGAGAGCGAATAGTCAAGTGGTACCAGTTGTCATACTTGAATGCCTATAAATTTCTGTTCCTCTCTCTGTTCTTCTGTTCTTTGTTTCGTTCGAGGTTCGAACTCTTTAGTGCTTATGCTCCGAAAAATGTCACGTTTCTTCTCCACCAGAAATCAAGAATTTCAAATTCTTCCCAAAAATCGACTTCAGACTTCCGTTCCACTCGTCGCTGTTTTTGCTTGGATGCCCATCACTGGCATAGCGGGCGATCCATTATTTTGGAATTAAAATAGCACGCTGCAAAACCTACAGTAGCTAGAGATGAATATTAATCTTGAATAACCTAACGACGGCAGTATATTGCAAACATTTCTATAAAGGTCAGATAATACTGCAATTTCAGAAAAAGGAATGCTTGGAATCATGAATTCACCAGCGGATTCTGTGGAATTCTATGCAGTCAACAAGAAGCTCTATGACGAAACGACTTGCGACGACGTTGTAAAGACGTTCACCGAAGTGAAGGATAAGCACAGCATCTCCTACACTAAGGGTGCGATCACCACAGTTGTTTTTCTAGCGCTTTTACTGGCTTATTACTGTTAGTGGGTGCACTGCAACATGCGCATGATACATACGGGAAGGGCAAGAACTCATTTATCAGAGCAACCTCCGTTCTCTCACTTAAAGCGGTATAGTACCGACTTCTTCCAGATTAATGGGACGTAAAATGATGCATATGGTGCACATTCTTTGTGTGTTGCGAACTGTGGTTGAGAGATTGCAATCCTTGTTTATTAAACTTCCACCTCACCAGTCCAAGGTTAAAGTTATACCTAGTTCGAAATTTTAGCCTTTTCATAGTAGTTATCAGTAGTGCAACTCTAATATATCTTTCGGAAATGTTAAACGAAAATAGAAATAAACACGTCTGTCAAGGAGAGACATTGTCCAGTTCCTACACCGTAACTTTCATGCGATACATTCTCACCACTTCACATCAGTGGACGACAACACTGAACTTTGCCACCAAAACCTGTATCGAAATACTAGCAGAGACATTCTACGATAAATAGGCTTCTAGAATGAGAATTTCCTTCAGATGGCCGCCGAATAATCGATGGGAAGATTGTGGACGGAGAATCTGAAACGGTCTCCAGTCTTTGGGAAAGTGCATTGCGCCGAAGTGCGGTTACGACTCATTTGAAAGTCGAAAGCGAGCAGACAGAAGAGGATGACTGCCAAGAAGTGGATGAACAAGAGGAAGCTCCGAAAGCAGAAGAGGCGCAGGCGAAACGTGGGTCTATTTAAGTGAAACAAATATAGTTCTACTTAAAACGTAGCAATCTTCAGTACTTGTTTATCCTAGCATTTAAGAATAACTTGAGAACACTTCAAAGGTTTAGCTAAAGGCGAAGCATTAAAAAAATTGAAGACCACTTTTTGTTCACTTTAGTTCAAAACTAATTCGTTTAATTTGTTCTGAGATTCCATGCTATTACAGCGACGTCTCTGTCTGTTTTGCTTTAGCTCATTCCATTTAGCCCAGCGCCTAGTAATTACTACAACTTCTAACCTGAAAAATCACCTCCTAACCTCCTTAAAACTAAATTCAACCTAAAGAGGGCTGCATATAGATGACATCGGTATTCAGATCCAGAGGTTGAAGTGGTGGAAGTGCCAATTCTTGCCGCAGCGCCCAGGAATACCGCTGAAAACACTGAAGTCTCTGATGTCTCTTAAAATTCTATCGAATCACATTGGCGAGTTCCACAATTGCTGTGAAAATCAGATGATATTTATACAATTACAGTATATATACAAACAATTTGTCCTAAGCAGACTACCAGTCGAAGAAATCGGCCAACGCATTCGTCATCGCCGTTGGCGGATTCAAATCGATCAGCATGTCTGAAATCGACTAGCAACCAGTCATTTGGTAGTTAGTAAATCGGAGTATCCTTATTTATGCTAGATGTTGTATACAAAGGGCTTCTGTTCTGTTGTCTATAAAATGTTCTATTAGAGTAGGCATCAGCGTGCGTTTCTGGTTGTACTACTTACTGATGTAAAGTTAATGCAGACCATTCAGGTACCTTTTTATTTCTTGGACTTATTTCGAATGATTTCGTGTTACTTTACGAATTGAGGCCAATGCGAGGTTATGTAGAATGAATGATCGCAGTCCTGTCAGAAGGATTTGGTTCTTCTCCGTTATGTTTGTTGTTGTTCTCCCTCACAGAATATCTTTGTTATTTGGCAAATCTGCCACTAGGTACGTGAATGTAGCACGCTTAGGATTCTTTCGAAACAGGAAAGAAGGAAAGTTTTCGATGCACTGTATTAACTTCCCAGAAACTAAGTATTTTGGTGTAACCGATGTTGCATTTCTATTAAATAAATCACTTTCAACCGTACTAAACTCCGACCCTACAGTTCACAGAGATGTCAGTTGCACAACTAACAGAAAGTCAAAAGAGAAGGAAATTCAGAAACAGGAGAGAGAATCGATTTCAAGTTTACTTCCTTCACCGTGTAGTCATCGAAATACTAGCTTCAGCCCTGGTGTACCAGTGGCTGCTAGGGCCAGCAGAGACTGCATCGACACACTACCGCTTCTGGACAAATAGACCACGAGGCAAGAATTCTGCACTCGCTCTTGTAAGTTCTATGGAAATATGTGCCGCCATATAAACGTTTGTTTGCAAAGAGCAGGCATTCGAGTAATTTCTTCCTCATTACGAAAGATATGAGGAAAACCGCAATATCTCAAACTTTCTTCGCTGTTTCTTCCAGCACATCACCTTCATAGTAAGTGAAGAAGACTTGGGCATTAAAATCATACAACATAGCTTACCTTCTCGTTGAGTTGGAGCCATTGGTAGCACATCGCTTACGTTTGTGGATATGATAATCGGAACCTAAACCAGTACTGACAACATTGTCAACTGTCGATCGCGTTCAGGAGACTCACGTTCAACGTGGCGACAACATGGTTGTGAGCTTTTCCAACGGAAATCTTCAGCATATAGCTAGTCCTCATGAGACCAGATAACTCGGTATTCGGAGGCAATGCGGGCACGTGGAAGCTAGGACGGAAGCGATAAGTTTCACCACTGCGGATCTTCCGTTTCGACGATGGCAGTCCGACACCTTAATAGACAGCAACAGTTTGTCGATAGTTCATATGGAACAAGAAATCGTCAAGCAGACAGAATTCTAACAACAGTAATCATGATATCAATGTTGGCAGTGTAAAAAAGAAGAAAATGATTTCGGCACTGATCTATTGCTCCTTGATGCTTTCTTTTCAAATAAACTTTCCTCCATCCGTAGAACTTTATGAAAGACACCCTTCGCTCCCCATTTTTATGCTATTGTCTTCGCTTATATTTAAGTCATCTACAGCTTAGGACATTAACCCAAATAAGTTTTTTTAAAGTTTTATTTTATATTTTATATGTTCGTCTTCACGTCCACTATGCGGATCCCAGCACTTCTCACATTCGATTCGTTTCCTCGCATTCATTGTCCAAACGAAAATCTTCCAACTTCTTACTTTGGCTTCGGTTGCTGCATGAGGATTTTCATTTCATCTTGAATGTTATAGAATGGTAGTCGAGCAATTCTCCCTGCAGCCCTGGGATAGCCGGGCTGGAGCGTTCCCAGTTTGATCACAGAGATTGATTTCTTTCCCAGACAACTCCGGTACTCATGGAAAGTGAGAGGCTTGGTTGGCCCGTAGCGGAATCGAGCTAGCACCATACTCGTGATGACGAGCATCACTACCACTGTACTATCCGCCTACTAGTTAAATAAGTCCTAAAATAAGACCCATGTAAATAAGTTAAAGGAGCAAATTCTAGCAAACTTGTTGTACAAACACAGATTGAATGTAAAGCTGCGAAAGTCGCTATCATTATCGCCACAACGTTTGTCTGAGGAATCGTTCCTTTTAGGACGGCTCGTTGTTATCTATGATTTGAAGGCATAATTGAAGCAGATCCAAGCACAACTCTTCCAGAGTTTACGGAATAATTCAATGCTCGTGAAGAATTTTAAGCCATCAACACAAAAAATCTATTGCTGTGTAAAATGAAAAAAGTTATGAGGAGGTCTTCATGAATTCCTGTTCAGAACTGTTTTTGCCAGTAAGACGATTGGTCTTTCTGTCGCATTATGTCATGCGACGCGAATGGATTCTATAAGATGACCACTGAGGTTCACTAGAGAAGATGGGACCACCCACGGTGAATCTGCGAATATCTTGCAAAAGGTAATTTTTCAAAGAAGGGTTTGGATGGGTATTTAGTGAAAAACGGATCGATTGATTCACTAAGCAGTTGCCACTTCGCACCTCGTTGAATAACCGAAAGCAATTCGCTTTTGTCACTGTAATCGCTGCTCTGCTGGATGGACTGAAGTCGCAAAACAGCAGACTTTCCTTTATTCAGACAGGCTTGCTGCTTCATTGAATGAACGTGTGGGCCATCCAAACATAGCTATTGCGGTTCCATGGAAACTCATGCTGGACCAAAATCCTTCATGTCGACGTCGCCGGACGACGATTTGAAGACAAGGAAGGGAAATAGAAGTGTTAGGACCGTCCCGACACGGACATATGAAGACAAGTCATCTAAGCTCTGCGGTAAATATAATTTCTTCAACCGCCTAGAAAAGTAGTCTTGAAAGCTCGAAGAAACATCAAAAACTGCAAAATTCTTACTGCTATTGTTCAATACAAGGCACCAACTGTGTTTCACTACAACGCTTCTATTCCACTGCGAACAACTAACGATGTGAATTTGAAAAAAGTGGTATAGGAAGCTTTACTACACCCAATATTTTCATTGTAGTCCTCTCCATATGAACCACCTGCTGAAAGATCTTGAAGCAACCAAGCTGCTTCCACTAGTTCTACTCAGGAAAGCGACCTGCGCTACTCTAGAATTTTACCGTTATACAGTAATAAATCGGGATCATGTTGGCTAAAAATACTGGTTTCTATTTCCATCATCATGATTTGTTAAATATGTAATTTAAATCTAAACTAAGCCTACCAGCGGTCTACCGTCTAATTGTGGCTGGGAAGTGTTTCTGGGTGAAGGGCTGCGATGTACAGCACGGGATTCATCATCCCAGCAGGATTTGCCAAGGTGAGAAAGAGTCTGGCGTTTCCATCAGGAAGCCCAGGTAGAGTAAACCAATGCCAAGATCCGTCACCGTCCTAGTACCAAAGTAGTCGCTTGGTAGCAAATCTCGCTCTAATCCAAAACGGCGGTAACTGCTCGTGGTGGTGTCGACCTAGGGCAGTGAAAGTCCGAAAAAATAGAGATTATGCCGGAGCGCCCAAAACCAATATAGAAGGGCCATCTAAGTATCCAAGTAAGTAATTTAAAACGAGATGATGCTGAGAAATAAAGTTGTTAAAGTGTAAAACTGATTTTAAAACTTAAAATTAAAAACTGATATTATTTCTCGGACTACATTAGGACAGAATTAGGGTTTGCAGTCAAATCAAATTTTCAATACCGCGACATCTGGGGCTGTTAAGCAGAATCAGACGAAATTTCGAGAATATGAGTGGAGCTTACATAACATCTTCCCTCCTCAACCTTTCTCTCATCCGTTTTTTAGTTAGTTTAAAATCCTATTCGATTCATCACATTCAAGTTTCCGTGTACTGCGTTGTGTGAAATTTTCCTATGCATAAAGCGTAACACACCAGTGGTGTTAATGAGCACGGTGTTTGTTGCGGAGATCGAACGCTCTCCCTGCAAGTAGCCCACTGCCTCGATTATCCGCACAATGTTCACATAAACGTATTTGATTGACCGCTTCCATATGAAAATACTTGCTTATTTAGAGGCAACTATAAAAGCAACAAGAAAACCTTTGTGCTACCGGTTGGCAATTGTTATGGTGCTTTGTAGTTTGCTGACTGGTGAGAGAATAGCCTGGTCGAGGATGCACTCAATGAACAAAGTCTCGCCTCTGTAACTAACTAGTAGTTCAGCTGCGACAGTTCACCTAAACACCTATACATCGTTCTCACCTAGACAAGGAGTACCACTTCGAGTACACCATCTTCTGATTGCTAAGTGACTGCATCTGCGGTACTACCACGGTCAGCGGACTCTCGTACTGGACAACGGCCACTCTTTGAACATTCAAAGTGACCTAGCAATGAAGTAATAAACGTTTCTAGAGCAGCATAATTCTATTAGCCATTTAAAAAATAGAATTTTCTAATCCACAATGAACCTCCGCCTGCTTACCGTTACTGAGTACTTTACGACAACCGGGCTTTCTGAACAGCTGAACGATGTCGCGAGATCATACGGCAGCTTGAATTCAAATCGGAACTCAAACCTACCCATCAAACGGCCTTTATTACAGTGGTTCTGAAAAAATAAAAATATATACCTGGTACTACTCGACGAGTAAATTGAATTCACCGCGTTATGATCTAGTTCAGCCATGTCTAGCATATCCTGCAAAGTACTGTAATGCCAAAGCTCTTCCTCCTGGTCCACGAGTACCCGCCGATTCGCATAGATGTAAAACTCCTTCAATGATGTTCTCTTTGTCTACTTTAATTGAAAGTTTGATAAGAAAACCTTGAAACTTCATCGTGATGAGAGTTTAGTGCGGAACAATATGCAGAATGAAGATTGTAGCACAGATTTTTAAATCGGGTTACAAATTGACAGCGCTCGAAACAAACTTTCCAATCCTTGTTTTGTAAGGCTCATTCATATATAACGTATCAGATGTATCTACTATCTCTCCTTTACAAACAGGATCCATTGGGACTCAAATTCTTGGTTGTGAGGGGAATGGCCATTCATCGATTTGGTCGGCGTATCATCTCTCTCGGTTACACGGTGACCAATATTTTTTTCCCGTAGGTTAGACATTGAAAAGTAACATTGTTACTACAAAAAAGTTTAAAAAACGCGAATACTATAAAAACCTTAGTCGTGAACTCCACGACGCAGTCTCCATACAGACGGGCTTTGATGTTGTCAACGGCAAGCGGCTTCGACGTAATGATGTACACTGAACCCTGGAGATCGATGTCATTTCCATTTAAAAGTAACTCGGTCTGAACTAGCTAGCATTTCTTTGTTAGATTAGAGCACACCAACGTACGATCAATTAGTCAACACTCCGGTTTCTGTTCTGTCTCTCCGCTCAGAAATATCTACACCGTTCTCCAGTCTCTCCTTTCCTGATAACTTATGATATGTTTCCAATAAGCTTACCATAATGTTAACCTTTTATTTACCGCCTACTGTAGTTTTTTACGGCAGGGTATGATGTGAGATATAAAGAAAACGATGCTGAGATATTCGCAAAATTTGGATTTCGGGCCAGATCGAACCACGATTTTCCTATCCGGGAGCTCGCGCGTTACACGTTGCGCCGAGCAAGGCCTTGCACCGTTTTGTTTTGGGAATATCTCTGCATCGTAGTGGCTGAATCCTACCATATTTTCAGCAAAGCCACTCGTGGATATACCCAGGCCACTTAACAGAGCGACGTGAACACTACATGGACAGCCACTTCTCAAAAAATACTAAGAACGTCGTGCAAAAACTGATATGTTTCGAGTCTGGTATTGTGCTAGAATGAATGAAAGGAAGCTTTGCTCACATACTCTCGAATTAGTTAATGATTAATTGGGATACGGGTGACGGGTAATAGGTGACAGTCGTCAATGTTGATGACCGAATCTTTTCATGACCCACGAAAAACGCCAAGAATCATTTCCTCGTTAAGAGTTTTGAATAATAACGAACCCTGTTAAGCAATAGATTTGATTAAAAACAATATGATCAGTCATCTTTAGGTTCCAATATAACCAGACAGCAGTAAGTAGTTTTATTCCTCTCGCAAATTGGACCCGCTCAACTTCGAACCACGGTCTAACGATACGCACGAGGAAAACCAGGCTTCGCCATTGGATAAGGTGGACTAATGAATAACTTATCAAGCTTCTGAAAAATAAACGAGGAACTTGTTCCTTTGCAGCAACTCTAAGTAATCCCACATGAATTGCTCGACGCTGATTAGAAGGCATCAGGAAACACCGGACATCCAGAGTGCTAAAGCACCTCTTATCATCTGCAACAAATAGGTTGGCGAGGAGTTGTGGTCACGACTGCCATCGGTGTCCAAGTTTATGAAGAACAGGGAATCGACAAAATAGGATCTCAAGAAGACAAACGCGACTGTTGATTGAGCGTGCGCAGACCGGCGGCCCAAGAAAAACGTTAGGGCAAATTTTCGTCGAAACTTGCCGAAGAGTGCAAAGCAAGGCAGGAAATACATACATACACCGCCAACTTCGTTACTACAAGGCCACTAACATTAACGTGGGGATCATTCACCCTGATGATGAAGTAACTGCTTTTCAAAAATAATGGAAGAGCACATTTGCAATTCCTACTCTACACCCGCCTTCCTATGCAAAACCACTGATTTTTAGACAAAGGAAGGTCGTTCCTTCAGTTTGCTCCCCCAAAGCCCATTATACGATCTTGTCGGTAAATATGCATTGAATCGGCTGGAAACATGAGTTGAAGTTCCAGAAAGATGTATCGTCAGTTATAAATGTCTGTACTGGCTTGCTGCTTCGCCTGCGCCTACAGGAATTCGAACTACGCACTTGTTTGAAAAGTAGCAATACATTTCTTGCGTACAAGAGGAGTGAAATGCACGACAATGGCAGCTATTACCACCCCTTCCGTTTGCTCTTCGTGGGCGCGTGTAGCGCAGTGGTCGGAGGTGCTCTGCAACATACCAAGCCTTCCATCCCTCCATGGTCGGCAAATTGGTACCAGACTTGTCTGGGAAGATAGCAGCAGTGGTTCGATACATCAGTAACCCAGAGCCATTGCAATGGCCAGATATGCATTCAATCACGTCCAAACGATGCTTAATGAGGTCGAATGCACAGCTCATCTCTCAGGGATTGGTTAACACCGAGAGCTTTGTCCTTTCATTTGTTCGTTTGCTCTTCGTAGTGTAGACGTTTCCTTGTGTTCCCATCAAAGGCGATGATTGTGCGTCGGATGAACGACAACGACACTAGGAGGCGAAGTTCACCATAACTCATTCACGAAGAGAATTCACCGGAGTACTAAACTAGTTGCAAAAATCACTTTGCCTAGTATCTACCAACAAAGAACGGCTTCGAATCTAACGAAATAGTTGAAGAGTTATCCTCCTTAAAAATTCTTCCAGACTCAGTGCCAGTCTTAAAAAATCTCAATCTTTGAGGAATCAAGGAGTTCTTGGCTTTCCAGCGTAGGATTCGCGGATTCTTCGAAAAGTTTAAAAAGATCCGAATTCTGCATTCTATTCTTCATTGTCATAGAGAAATATTCGCTTTACTTATTAAAGAAGGAATATTTAGTTTGGATGGAATAGTGAGAAAGAGAAAAAATTCTTCTATTTACTGGATTGCATTTCCAAAAAAAAGACGAACATCATTAAAACGAATGAAATTGAGCTCACACTGGTTCAAGGGCTAATGATTTCAATTCCTCACATGACTGTAGCAATGATTTATATTTGTATTCTTCCATAGTTTACTTCTACTTTTCACCTGGTAATGGGTGAAGTGTTTAACACCGCAGGTGTATGTGGTGGGGAACGAACGCGATATTGTCTTTTCCGGGAAGTAGCGCGTTCACCACAACACCATGCGGGTCCTTCGTTTCGCCTGTCTCTCAGCTAGTTCTATCGATCTTTACCACAGCAATCACCTGCCAGTGGGATTATACCCTGCCATTAAAAAAAGAGTAGGCAGTAAATAATAAGTTGAAATTGTGTTTGAGAACACTTTGTAATTCGCCACTGGAACACCTATCATGAATATTAAAGGCACCTTCAGCTTGACTGGGTTCATTGCCGATTTGAGCTCTCCAGATCGTTCTCGTTAGCAAGTGATAGCCGATAGCACCACTACGGTAAAGTAAAAAAAAACTTGCTGAGAGAAAGGCAAAGCAAGGGTGTCGGTCGTACAATGGATAGATAACCCATGAGCTAGCGAAAGTGTAGTCGAAGGTTTGAGGCTCACCTGGGATTTCGAGTTTGGCTCATATCTCAGCATAGCTGTTACTAAACTTCGTGTGACCATGAATTCTGTCCTGTCCAAATATTTTGATGGAAAATTCTGCTCAAATTTTGAGCAGAAACAGTTCTTTTCGACATGAGTTCAACTGTAGTACGAATAGTTCTGGTACTTCTGCTATAATCATGAGCTCCATAATTTCAGAACAAATTTCATCGGCATGGTAAAAGCAATCGCTTTACTTTTATTTAAGCACATTAGTGGTAGCCATATTTGCATATCAAACTGACTACAGTAAAGGTTTCGTCTGACGGAATTCTCTTCGCGCGTGTTTTGTCAACCTGCTCACCTTCACTGTCTGCCCAGGTATGTGAACGGCACGGTCGGTATTCACCTCCACACGAACATTTTCCATCGCTTTCCTGAAATCGATTCGCTCGATGTTGTACTTGGATCAAATGAGACTGCACACTCACCTAAACAGAAACTGGCGTCGGTAAAAGACCTGGTGTGTCTGACTCACTCGATAAAAAAGAAGTTACTAGTATTTGTCCGATGTATTTAATGTTTCTTTCTTCAACGGATCTGTAAGGACCACGAGAACTGAGAGATTCAGAAAAGTTAGCCGTGAACATGAGAAGACTCTAGCTGAGAGACAGGCGAAACGAGGGACCCGCATGGTGTGGTGGCGAACGCGTTACCCCCGGAAAGGACAACAGCGCGTTCGGAGTTTTGCAAATATCTCAGCAATCTTGTGGTTGGATTTCGCTCAATACCCTGCCATAAAAATTGTGGAAGGCAGAAAATAAAAAGTAAACATCATGAGAAAACTTTCACCACAGAAAAGTTTGTATGAACGAAGGAGTAACAAGATGCATCCTGTTCGAGGCATTCCACTCGAACAGCTTATCCAGCAAAAAGTGACTTAGTGAGAGGAAGCTTTTAAACGCCGTCGCAAAAACATTACTGAGCAGTGATTGTAGACAGTCGAAATATGTATGCAAATCTACATGTTGATTATAAATGCCATAAACTACGATTAATATGCGTACGAACCTGAACACCAGAAAGGTGAATAGTACTTTAGTTGTCAATTAAACACAAAGTTCTGAAGCGGTGTGATTTACAGCAAAGCGACCGACAGCAACGACAAAATCATCGTAAACGTTGACCAACATCACCTCTTTGTGGAGGTGTTCAGTCCAGCATTGAATAAGTTGAGTTAAAGAGCACGGAGTTCACAAATAGCGACTAGGAGTGTCAGTTTTCGACGAGCTGATAGAAGAATTACTGATAAGGCCACTGCAGACAGAAAAAGAATGGGAACGGAAACTCCTGCTGATTTCAAAGATTCGTACCCGAAATTTTCAATTTTCAATATAAGTATGAAAAGGATAAAGGATAAAGCTCTCGGCGTTGATCAGACCTTGAGGGATGCGCCATGTATTCGACTTCATTAAGTATCGTTTGGAGGTGACTGAATGCATATCTGGCCGTTAGAATAACTCGCAGTAGCCTACCGATGTAACGAGCCAGTGCTGCTATCCTCCCAGACAAGTCTGGTAGCAATTTACTGACCCCGGAGGGATAGAAGGCATGGCGGGCCAAGGGGCGTGNCTCGCAGTAGCCTACCGATGTAACGAGCCAGTGCTGCTATCCTCCCAGACAAGTCTGGTAGCAATTTACTGACCCCGGAGGGATAGAAGGCATGGCGGGCCAAGGTGCGTGTATCGATCCCACGTGTGTGTTGCAGGGCGACTCCGACCACTGCGCCACACGCGCCTTAATATTATTAGTATAAATAGTATAAAATAGATATATGAAGAGAAATAGAGATAAAAGGGATATGTATGTCCTATGTAAAGAAGCATCGCCGAGTGAGTATGGTTCATTCGAGAGTGATACTCCACTGAGCATGATCCGTTCGATACTCGACGAAGACGCCACCTCGAGAACACAAACCACTGTGGACCATCGACTCAGATCATCGGCTCTGATGAAGACGAAAGCGTCGAAACGTTAGCGGAATAAACATCCTTATCAATGTCGTGTAAGCCCAACAATGTAAACACATGTTGGAAGATTTACTTTTTTATATATGGCAAGCTCTCATAAACCACAGAAATCTCTGTTACCTCTGAACACACGGACATCCTCTTCTCGTTTCTGTCCGGGCACTACCACACGTCTGTGTGGGCACCGCGTTCATGGGCAGGAAGTCACCTTTCTCAATCGAAAACGGTCGCCTTTCAGTCTGCGTAGTGCTTATCGTAGTCACAGTAGCACTTCGAATCGGGTCATTCGATTTGCTCAATATTTCTAGTTACAACTTCTCTACTGAGCTTTCGCAATTTTTTCCTAGTTATGTCGTCCATTCAGGCTAAATTCACAGAACTCGCAGCGAGGATTGGCAGAGCAACACAAATGTGCATGTGCTACTCACTAAAGTACCTGTAATGACTAGCATTTGAAGAAACACAGTTGCACTATTTTTATTTATAAGATAAAAAGATGAAGAATGAAGCTTCCGCCAATGGTCAATCTTCGAGGAACCCCAGAACGATGGCATTTCTGGTGACGTAGGTTATGGAATCGAACCATTGTTTGATGTACTCTCCAACCATTACGCTACATCTACTTTTTCGTGTTATACTGTCTAAAAACTTGTGTGGATGAATATGAATCATTAGATGAGTATATATGATCAAAATCAACAGCTTCCACTAACTGCGCTTATCTGACTGTTATTGATGTTACGAAATGACATTTACATTGCTCACTCGCATGCGAAGGCACGTCTTCCTAATGGAGCACAACCCTCTCTGGTGTTGTGGATTGTGGAGCACGGAGAATGCTGACGCCAGTTCAACAATAACACGAACTCAACTGACTACCATAATTCGATCTGGTGGATAACCGATACCTCCGGTAGGGTCAGGTATCAAACCTCAACCTTCTGAGCGGTTTGCAACTTTCTGAGGCAGTGAGCAAAGCGGGGAAAACTGATCTCATGATAATCGTGATTAGTTGTGATTGCCACACCAATACGTTTCTCTCTATTTGTCGTTGTTATATGGAAAGACCAGTGCTGCATTGGGACACAGAATGCAAAAATTGGACGGAATGCTGAATAACCGTTGGAACACACTGTTAAAATAACTGGATTGTTATACAATTTCACAGTGGTTTACCAATGCGGTTTTTTTCAGTAGGAGATCTATTCGTGTTAAATGTTGGGATCTCACTGGATATCAATTTTCTTCGTGTACAAATTAACACTATACAATTATGCTCTAGGCTAAAATCTTTTCTTGCAGACCAGAAATAAAAGGAAGCTATGTGGTGAAGAAAAAGAACATTCCTAACAGCTGAAGCACGTCATGTTTAAATAGTTTTATAGATTATCAGAAGGAATGTAGTGATTTTCGTAGAAAAATCGAAAGGCTGCAATTAACTCGGAAACGATTTTGCCCTCTAAACTGAGGAATTTTCGAGGACGCCACAGCGATAAATCGCGGCACTGGAGTTGCGAACATCGACGAAGAATGGCTATACTTGCTCGCCATCAAGCATTCCATCCTGAACAGAATACGAACATGAGCAACAGTCACTTGACAATCACCTCGGAACCGCGTGCTGATGAAAAAGAGCTATCTGCCTCAGTCGCTGTTTCCTTGCTTTCACGAGATCGTCTAGTTCGTCACTTACGTCGGTCGCCTTCCTAGCAGTTGGTAGTCGCAGGAGCCAAAAGTGATGACCAGATGGTATGAGGTGCAATCACATGAGGTTTGTACATCTATGATGAAACAAACGATATTGGATATCATGCACTTCGAATGGCTTCCAAGGAGTGCGGCCACCACAATTGAGCATTAGATAGAACATTTTCCATGTTTGCCGCATGTGTCGCAACAAAAAGATGACATCATTTTTGTGTCCGGCAGCACACAAGGAGTGCAGCGAAAGCAGGCATCTAGGATACGGTATAGGTCAAACCCGGTATACTTACCGGAATTGTTTTCGCATTATAGGATTACAACCTTTAACGTTAAACTTCGAACAGTACGCCTATTGTAACCCAATAAGGGCAGTGGAATGCAGAATTGACTGGCCAATTTTATCGCTTGCAAGTGACCACTAGGTTAAAAAGGCTGGCAACAAGTAAAAACAAATTCTACACATATTGAAAAAAAAATATTATTGGTTGATATGTTTTATATATCTGCTAAGGCTGCATGTAGCACGGTGGTTAAAGTGGCCCTGTGACCTGCGACAGGTTGCTGGTTTGCTCTTACGCCTATGATTCACCCAGCCTTCCAACCCTCAGGTACTGGAAAAGTGTTTCAAGACTTGTCCGAGAAAATAGCAAAACTGACATGATACATCGGGAGGTCACTCCAAGTCACTGAACAGCCCAGACATGCGTTCTGTCACTTCTGATATGCGTTTCGCTATTGGCTGCGCTGAACATTTTATCCCTTAACGTTTATCCCTCCCTCGGGGTAACCAACTCCTCAGATCTCTCGAGATCAGCAAATTGATGGTAGACTAATCTGATAAAATAAAAATAGCGATGTAAAACATTGGTAGACCCCAAAAAGTCATTCTGTAGACTAAATGCGCATTCGATCACTACCACGATGAGAAGAACGAGATCGAACCCTAAGAAAATAATGTTTACATAAAGTTTGGAAGACCTTGGGAATTAATAGAAAAATTCGACACTGAAACATGATAAGCTCAATGATCAACACATGATAAGCTAAGTGATCACCTTTTTTGTTCATCATGAGAAAGAACTATTGTTAACAAAAGCATTCCGTTCGTTTTATTGGTTTACATGTGCACAGCTATACGTAAACCACAGGCTTCTTACGATATGTCATCAGATTTTGGAAAGCTGTAAGTCGTTGCAAAACTGGCACGATGATGCACCAGTCCCAAGAGAGAAGCCGTTTTCTTAGTTTCTAACGAAAAACCTTCAAAGACTGAATATGTCGAATCTGTTCGTCTGACAATATTAGCATCAGAACCAAGGAATGCTTTGATCATTGAAGCTTTTACAATAATGCTACCCTAGCTACTATACCTAGAGGTATCGCAGATTCGCGATTCATAGGATAAAGAAATATAAACTACCATTCTCATGACGAGTACCCTTCTGTCAGACGGTGTTCAATGGGCGAAATACAGATGGGGAAAGAACAGTTATTGGAAAAACTCCCGCAGACCAGGTTGGCAACACATTGTTGAACAACGTTTGACTTGAGATGACTACATCGATTTAGTCGCTGAACTTAAAGAGACGTGCACAGGTGCTTCTTGTTTGAGACCCTCCACAAATACGATAACTCTCCTTGGTCGACAGAATGGTGCCCTCGCAGGTGGCCGAAAACGCGAGCGGGCAGCGCTAACCGTGGGCGCAGCTGCTGTGTTCTCCCATGTGATACAAATCAATCGGGCGGTCCTTCGAGCGTTCGAATTTCTGTCGCGATCTGTGCTGCTTAGCCCTCGTCAGTACGAAGATCATCCACGTTCTCACTCCAGTCTTTTTCTTTTTGTGCTACTCAACAAGTTACAGCAGTAATAAATGTTATCTTTCTCTGATGTTTGCCAAAGTCTGTGTTTACTACTTCACATTTAGCACTCCTTCGGCTGCAATGAATCTAAGCGGAGTTCACAGTTTGAGTGAATTCAATGATTTCTTTACATCTATGGACTACTGTGTTCCTTAAAGTTTTGTGCTTGGCTAGAAATAGATGGACTCTGATATACCATTATGCCCATGCTTCCTTGCATTTCCTGCCAGCTTTGCAATTCCCAACAAGTAGGTTGGGAGTTGTAAGCTTAGAAAAGTTTGCATGTTAGAAGGTGAGTGGAACGAGACAGGCGGTTAATGATCGATGGAAGGAAAATTCCCTAGAAGTTTCTTCAACCACACGCCGTCAACTTACCGTTCTCTACCGGCCGTCTTACCACCTTATCCAATCGACTTTCTGTCAACTCGTTTTTCACAGAGAACGCCAACACGACATGTCGATCCCTTCGTTGGCAGCCCAGTTCCAGTTTTGCGATTTTGCAGTTTTCCCACGGTTTTTTTTCACAAGTTCAATCTTCAGACCCTAGAATATCTCTTATACCGAGAGCAGAGAATAGTTTTCAGTGATTTTAATCCATATGATTTTACTGAACAGCGAGTCGAAGGTCGTTTTACTTACTTTTTATGACATTTAAAGACCATCAAACAAAACTTCGTATGATTATCTATTATTTTCCAGCCATCCTTTCCTACATGATGGGAAGAAAAGCGACTGATACATTGGGCTGCTTATCTAATGGATAGTTGACAGAAAACTAACGGGAAACGATCGTTGGTCCCACGAAGAAAGAGACAAGCAAACACACTTGCTCGTTCATATGCTAATGGGCCCGTCTGTGAAATAAACATATCAACAACGCTCCCGGTACCCGCACCCGCTCTTGTCCCCACTCCCTCCGTTTCAACTGCTCCTTGCTTTCCGCAGTCACACCATCTGCTCATTTTTCAGCAGTACAAGATAATTCTCGATAACAGAAAGACTTGTGGAATTGACAACAGTATTATAGAAAAGAATTTTCTCTGTCACTTCAAGGCTATGCATGGTAGTAGGTATGCTATTACTTGCTACGTGTTGCGTTGGCCCATCAAACAACGATATTGATAGCGGCCTTTCGAAGTATTTTGAGCTTTCCTTGACTCTATGCCTGTGCTTTTAATAACCGCCCACTCAATAAGACAGCCATAATTCGTCATAGCAATTGCCCTTGATGGACTAATCAAGGCTGAAGGATAGGCTTTTGTACTTCTGTTCGCAAAATTTCTGCCGAGTGTCGGTAATTGTACAATACAAAGGCAGAAGCTGGCTGGCAGAGTAGCGATATCGCAAGCGAACTGAATCGCTATGCAACCGACTGGATGGCAGTAAACATCACGGACTGTACAAGCATCTTTTGATCATTTGTTTAGGCAATGGAGCCACACCATTTGCTTTTTATAGGTGGGCGCAACCCTTACACCGTTTGTGCCTGGCTTCCTTGAACCAGTTCACAGAACTTGTAAACCAAAAAGCAGAGAACCTTTTACACCGAAGCACCTCTTTTCATAACCGCATTTTTGCGTTTGCTGTTGTTGTATACTTTCATCTCTGAAGTTTTGTGAATTTCATCGGTATACTTTTCGTTGATTTTCCCACATCGTTCTAGGATATTCATTCAGTAACCCATGTCAGTAAACGCAAGTTGCTGCCACCCCTTATAGAACATAGTGGAATTTTTGCTTGCAAATATATCCTTGTCTGGCTAGGGCAACGGCAATTCTATGTGTGGGATCTATTTTCGAATAAAGATTGCGAATGCCTGCATCGTTTCGATTGAGTAGATCCTCTTCATTGAATATTTTCAACCCGATTCATACCTTTATAACGAACGTGAAATATTTACATGATCTTACAAACTGATCTTTTGAGCTGGTGCGAGGTTGGTACAGGTTTTCGTTGTCGTTGTCGTTGTTGTTGGTGCTGTTAGTCGATGGCTGACGTTTCGGCGATTTCGCCTTCCTTAGAGCCGTGCTGTTACGAGTGGGACTGCTTTTAAGCACTGATTTTGATTTTTTTTGCTGATTCAGTTCAAAGGCCACAAATCTTCCTTATTTGAAAGATGTCGTGATAGCTAGTCGTGCATCTGGTAGTTGATTGGGTGTTGAACGGTTAACCAAAGTGACCATGCCGTGAGACACAGGTGATTCAGAGATGGATTGTCTGTTGACTCCAGAGCGGAATATCTTGTACGTTTGGTATGCTCGCACTTATATCCATACATAAATGTATGAATAGGATCCCACGTATGTTTCCTGCAAAATTATTCGGCTAAAAATTGGCAATTTGGTGTCTAGAAACTATATGGGAGCTAGTTCGATGTCGCGCCCAACAAGTACTCTTACCTTTGGAGAAACGAAGCATTTTAGATGTAACTGTATCCATTCCACATATCCCTAATTACTTCCTTCTCACACAAGAAAAGTGTTCCAATGCATGGCCTACTGTTGTTCCCCGATAATTTACGTGGTTACGAGTGATATAGCTAAATTGGTAGGACTGCATAGACTGTTTCCAAAATTCTCATCTTTAACCGAGTGTTCCACTTCTCAGCAGAATCACCCAAGCTAAAAATGAAATCGACTTCTCCATTCGGCAGCTCAGCTAAGAGTGTTCGTATAACAGACATTGATAGGATTCACTTCCATCCTGGAAGAATCCGAGTCGCAAACCGCAGATCCCCACGGCCCAGTAACTGACTGTCTATTGCAAAGGCATGGGAACGCTTTAGACGGGTACCTTGGGATCCAAGTAAAAACGAGCTTGAAGTACAATTCTACGTGTCAGTAAGGAAGTAAGATAACAATTCGCCAAGCTGGCTACCAAACCAACACATTACCGTCACCTATGAATGATGGTTGCAAAAAATTCCTAAGTATCTAAATGTATCATATCATTTTAAAAATACGATATCAGCTGATAAGACATTATTTGCTTCGAATGGAACATTTTCCACATCATTTCACCGTCCGGTTGTCGTCCATTCGGTAATGTAATTTATTAATATACAAGTCCTTCCTACCGTCTTTCTTTTCCTCAAACACACACTCGATCCCTTCAAATTATTCTTCCTTAACATCGACGAAGCCCCATGACATTCTTGGTTTTTAACACCCCATCCAGGCTTCACATTTTCCGTCAAGAAGTTTGTTTCATTATGGATGTGATCCGAATTCTCTCTTTTGATGGTTGCTTGTCTGGAAATTGCCTTAAATTTGAACCCCAAAACGATCTTTTTTCCTCAATCTGGACACGAACCACCATTGTCCACGCCAATTCCACCAAAGAAGAGTAAACCGAACGAATCGTCGCAACTATCGCCGGTTATTTTTGTTGTGCATTCTGTGAGTTGTTCAACGGAGTTGATCTTGTTGCACCACAATGACCTCTGTTCAGAAGTCCAAAATCCAACCAACCCAGAGAACTTTGCAGTGTTCTAGTCACCAAGAGAGCAAAGTTCCTATATGAGCGCCTTGGAAATGTTATCACATTTCTCACTTCCGGTTGGGTTAAAACACTTGGTAGCATTCAAACCTGCGTAATGCTGTCAGCCAATGTCGAGTAAAGAGTCGAACCCATCGTAACAACTCTTGCCGATTGCCTATGTTCCAAGGTCCCGAGAATGTGTTTTTACAGCGTTACTTACCATCGCTGTCAGAAAATGCTGAAAATGCACTTTATCTTACCAATGCCATTCGTTACATCCTACTGCAGTACATTACGCACTAGTTTCCTTATGATGAAAATAACGTAAACGTTTGCGAAGATAATTTCATCATCTTGTTGAAAAGTACCAGTGAGATGGGTCGTAGAAAGTCAGTCAAAGAAACGTCTGATGTAAAAGGACACTTTTCTAGTGCAGTCCCTAGCACGTATCTGATGCGTAGGACCCGCAATAGATGCAGAGCACTGTAGCGAAGTTTTCTCACTATCGCGATGGAACAAGATATGCACCGAAATCGACTCATTTGGGAGAAAAGTTTGCAACATTGTGGGAAAATCCTTCAAAAGGTCAAAACCTCGTTCTATTCTGTAATGTGACCATCACGATTGTCTCTAACACATTCTTAGTGCATAGCAACTTACTGGAGCTCCTTTTCCTAAACAATGGCGAGGTGCTACGTAGTGGTCAATGTATTTGCTGAGCTATGTTTGGACGCCGAAAACCTTATTCTCCAGGTACTTCTTGAGGTCTTAGAGCTCAATAACCAAAAAGAGCATTATCCAGAGCATATGCCTAATGCGGTACAATCTTCCACACATGCACTAATAATGTTTCTCCGGTCAACTTTGAAACGTGTGCTCGTGAGCCGTTATCCATATCGAAGGACTATGCTATGTTTGCGGAAATGTTTTTGAACAAGGTCAGGCAACTTCTAAGGTTAAACACTGTAGACGACGAGAATCATAGTAGTGACGGTTGGCTGAGGTTTATAGAACGACATCATTTTTAAATCTTTCCTACCAGAACAAAAACAGTATTCTTTCATGAGGCTGCTTTTAGTTGAAATTATGATAACTCTCCCCTCTCCCCCCCTCTCACTCTCTCATGAAAGCCATTGACGTTTTTATGAATATTTTTCACCGGAAAGAATCAGCTGATATCTCCAGTAGCAATTTGCTTCTGAAAACCCTTCTACTGACAAAGTAATTCGTGATGAACCTACCATGGCACGAGCTGCTCTGTTAGAATCCCTAGGCTGACGAGGAATCTACATTGATTAATATATTGATATATGATATATATACAACGGCATGACTTATATATACTTACATTTTGGTCAGAATGAGTCATACGTCCCATTCTCGTTCTTTTTTCATGCAGGGGTTTTTTGTAGCCTTTTTATCTAGTAGATAACTACTCAAAGTTATTTTGTATATATTACGATTTTTGGAAAAGTTTGCTCGTCTGATTGAATTCTGCAACAAGAGATTGGTGCTGGTGAGGATGCCTAGATATCCTTGTGAAGATAGAAGTACATGAGTCTTGCGATTATTCCTTACCTTTTATGTCAACGGAACACCGAAAGCTGTTGCCAAGGCTCCTTGATGTTTATGGACTGTGGGTTTGGCTGGGACGACCTATATTTGATCCACGCTGCCCATAATGAAAAATCAGGCACCATAGACGGCAGTCGTATGTTGAAGAAAGATTGAGGAGGATAACGGTAAAGCTAGGAGCACCGGACCACCTCGAAGAAACTTTCATGGACAGCGAAGGTGGTTGTCTCTCAACAAGCTGTATTTCTAGCGGAACACACGTAAGCATCACTTAGCTGCACTTCCAGAGGTTACGAGCCATTCTGGAGACCACTTCCTTAGATGACAAGAGGACGAAGCGGACGGAAATTCTGATGGTATACACGCCTCAGAATAGGGAACAGAAGTATCCCGAGAATAAGAAATAACTCGTACATCCCATATACCTGATCGGTTTTTATAAGAGAACTTAACATCTAATAAAGTATAGAGACCTTTTTGTCGCTGTTATTATCATAGATAAAACATGACCGTTATGTTTCTTACTGCGCGGTTATTTCTTCCTTTTTCTTCTCTAGATAGAACAATTTTCATCTTGTACTTCTCAGTAGTATCTTCCATAAACGTGTGTCTTGTCATTTGGCTATATTATAGTGTATCTTTCTTCATCAAAGATTTTAGGGATGAGATTGAATCCCTCCTTAAGAGGGTCTATGTTCCCTTTGGTGAGTCGACTATCCATGCCAGCTCTAGGAAAATCGCCAAAGGTGGTGACGGCAGATGTAGCAGTGAGTAATATTTCCTCAGGTAGGTTTGGTAGATTTCCTTGTTCCATATATTCGAAAAAATTGCTTGAAATTTTCCAGGAAGCAGCATCTTTGTTCATGGACTGGCTTCAACACCAACTGAGCTACTGGAGGCACTATGTAGGCGTGTAGACAGAGATGAGCTGAAGAATATTCGTCTGATGCATCTTCTTCTAAATGGACATGTTCCAGTTACCAATAAAAAATATATTGGTGAGGTTTTACGCTAAGTCCAAGGTGTTAATGGTATTAAGTTCACTTAGGTAAAATATCGCGTTTCTAAAACAACTGTGTGCCTTAATAGGGCCGATGTGTAAGTAACCGTATAATCGGTTCGCACCTTTTCTAGTTCAATAAATGACCGTTCTTGCCTAGTAGAGTTACTGACAAATACTTATTTTTTAATAGATCTAAAAATAAATAAGGCTTTAAAACTTTACGTATTTAAACAAAGCTCTCGGTTTTGATCAGCTCCTGAGGGATGCACCATGTATTCGACTCCAATAAGCATCGTTTGGATGTGATTGAATATATATCTGTCCTTTATAATGACTCGTAGTGGCCTACCGATGTATCAAGCCAGTGCTGCTATCCTCCCAGACAAGTCTGGTACCAATCTGCCGACCCCGGATGGATGGAAGGCTTGGTGGGCCATCGGCGCGAGGATCGATTCCACGTGTATGTTGCAGCGCGCCTCCGACCACTGGGCCACAGCCCCCTTACCTATCTAAAAATACTGTTAACATGTACGTACTATTTAATCTCCTTCTCAATGTAATCTTATCAAAGCTAAAGAATGTTGTTCCTATGAATGCTGTAGAGATATTCGGTTACATTCACGTTCCATTTGCAAATTCTTTGATCCAACAATCATGATTTTCAATCAAATGGTGGTTTTCCGAGCTAGCTGTTCGAAAAATTACTGATATTCTTCGAGAAATTCTATGCTTGGGTGGTCCAGGGAAAGCAGACATAGCTCTTTCTCTCTGGTTCTTTCGGTAAGAGAACAGCATCTAATATTGTAGTGGCTGCAACCAATGCACCAAATATTGTAGTGGCCGATTTGCATCTACTTGTAGTATCTCCGTCGTTGAATAATAAGGTAGGTGCTACAAGGAGTAATTAGTTGAATAGTGGTTGTTGTATGAGTTGCAGTATTCGAGTCTTCAAAGTGGATTTCTGTGATGACGTCAACTAGTTGGGGGTTCTTGTATATAAGTATTATCGTTGAACATTCGAGGAGCTGTGAATGAGAATCGAGGAATGGAGTTGGCAGTTCTAGGGTAATTGTAATTGATTTGTGGACTATCGTTGTCGATTTGCCCCTCTAAGCGATGTATCAATCGATGATGGGCTGCTCACTTGAACCAGTCCGGTATTTCACGCTGGTTTTTCGATCGTTACCTTCACAGTGGGAACCTTAAAGTTAGATAGTTGAGGGGTTATTTGTAGCAGACAAACACAAACCACGGTCCATCAATGCATCATTGCATCATGCATGCGAGGTACCAATATTTTACCACTGGTGTGAAAAAGGCACGAATATAAAAGATGAAGGATAAAGCTCTGGGCGTTGATCAGTCCTTGAAGGATGAGCCAGGCATTCGACTTCATTAAGCATCGCTGGAGGTGATTGAATGCATACCTGGTCTTTACAATGACTCGCGGTGGCCTACCGATTTATCGAGCCAGTGCTACTATCCTACACGACAAGTGTGGTACCAATTTGCTGACCCCGGAAGGATGGAAGGTTTGGTGAACCTGAGGCGCGGAGATCGATCCCATGTGTATTGCAAGGCGCCTCCGACCACTGCGCTAAGCTCGCCCTAACGAAACAAATATATTTCTTCTAAATAGAGAAGACTATGTATGTGATACAAAACATTCCCTATAACTGTGCTCTAATCTAGTGTATTAACAATTTAGCAGCAGGACCTGTGTTAATAGTGTTTTTAGGCAAAATTCGGTCAAACTGCCTGTTCCTGTGTAATAACACCCGACCTCTAGTCAAAGAAGGTACCGAATGGCTTTATTTTCGTTCTTCTTATGCTTTCCTTTTTTTAAAATTCATTAAAGGTTACTCTACACGTCGAACACCATTCTAATTGCAAAGTACGTAAAGAGGTGACTAAACTTGATTACACTGGGATAAAGGATAAAAGGGATAAAGCTCTCAGCATTGATAAGGCCCTGATGGATGCGCCATGCATTAGACTTCACTAAGCATCGTTTGGAAGTGACTGAATACATATCTGGCCTTTACCATGACCGCAGTGGCCTACCGATGTATCGAGCCAGTGCTGCTATCCTCCCAGACAAGTCTGGTACCAATTCGCCGACCACGAAGGGATGGAAGACTTGGTGGACCATGGGCGAGGGGACCGATTCCAGGTGTGTGTTGCAGTGGCGCCTCCAACCACTGCGCCACACGCGCGCTTACACTGGGATATGCCGTTCTAATTGTTAGTTGACAATTTCCAGGACATGCTGATTACATCCCGATTTTCCTCTCCGACATGCCTACTTACTTTTATGACAATTCATTACCTGTGGATGTTGCTTTAGTGTCCGTCAGTTCACCAGGTTAGGTTTACTTTTTTTCTTTTTGATGTCTTCGTAGTACGATAGATCGGCGAAGTGTGCACCATCGATAGACCTTACGCAAAGGTAAACCGATGGATTTCAGACAAACACGGCTTCTGCACTTTAGGAGTAAACGTAGACACTGCAAAAGCTGCTCTAGAAATGGCAAAAAAAGTGATAGGTTTGTTTTTTTGCTATAATTCATGGACCTCTAAGGTTTCTCTAAAGCCTCGTTCTACTAGATCGGTACAGTGCAGCCCACTTCCACTCGTAGTTGACGTCCTTGTTTCGCGAGTATCGAAAAATATCTAGTTAGTTAAGTACCATACGGAAACAACGTAAACGATAGGGCGATAGCAGAGGTGAGCAAGTGAGCGCAAGCAGCTCTGCCATAAGCTAGAGGTGTAATACGATGTGCAAGTGTAATATAAAATACAAAAGTTATAGTATAGAAAGGAAGTTGATATGTTAGAAGATACATGTGAGGTTATAATAAAGGGCAGTGAGGCTAACATGATAGAGAGCGCATGTGAGGTCGTAACACTACTATGCGGTTAGCTTAGTAGAGGGCACGTGTAAGGACGTAACAGCTTCAATCTATCGGTGATTATTAGGAGTGTGATTAGCGTAAGATAGAATGGTGATAATGAGAGAATAAGGTTTAACAATTGGAATTTATTACGTGAAATGAAACGATATGATGGATGTGATAACTGCAAGAACGCTAACCAAACGAACAGGGTAATGACTCTAACCTGCTTAAATGCATTCTGGAGTAGGCGGTGCTTGGCGTAGCCTCTGAGCTTCCCCAGAAAGCACACGCCGACTATTTGCCCACCGTACAACATTAATCATTAGGGGGAAAAACGCAGAACAAGGGCTTCCGTGGAGCAGTGTGTAATACGCAAGCGCCCGGAAAGAGAAATCGTGGTTCTATCTGTCCCCGGGATCCAGGTTTTGCGAATAATCTCAGCATCGTTGTGGCTAGTCGCTAGTTCTTGCTCTTGTATTGATAACAGTTGACATTAACGCCAGATTCGGCTACAAAACCTGTATAATTTAGCGCTCGTTAGTCCAAAAATACCACGTACTCATGGCAATTCTATCGTACATCAGTCTCATTTTGACTACATTGTGGAAAGCAACCATGCACTCCATGGAATAACCAGCGAACAGCCTCTGTCGCAGGTTGTCTGCATATATCTTATTTGAGAGTTTGTTTTTCCAAATAGTATTCTTTTCGATAATATATCTAAAACGTTCGACACGTATGGTTTGAGAACACGACTATTTTTGATAGTCTAGGAGGAGATGAAAATCGGGCAACTCATCGCTGAAAATTTAGTGGACAATGGAGCTACACTTCAGCTAGGTAGGTGGTTTCATTTTTTATTCATTCATTGAATTTGAGAAATTCGTCGGCGAGTTACTGAAAGTGCATAGAGTTGGTCTAGCTTAGGGCCAACTATCCACATTCAAGTTCGTAACGATATGAATTCATTTCAATTCATACGTCCAGAAAAGAAGCACGCTTTTCACCTGAAACACGCATATCTCAGCCCATAGTAAACTTTTATTTATTTATCATTTATTTTTATTTATTTATTATTTATTAATTTTATTTATTTGTTTAACAAGCAATAAAAGCTATAATTTTTGCCGACAAAACGCAAGTTTTTCTAAGCCATGAAGATGAAGTTCTTGTTTTATCAACTCCATAAGGCGTTTTTACCTTCATTTTTCGTTGGAGCTCGCATTTCGGAAAGCGAAGCGATCAGGCAGGTTAGAGGGATGGAAATGTCTGTTGTGCAATTGTCAAAAAACCCTCATCGTTGCGAATGTGTTAAGGGATTAGTGGATATATCCCGTGAACGTAAAAGTTAGCGTCGTTTTCGGCTAAATTTATCTTTCTAGGCACAAGGAATACGAATTTGTGGTTTACTATGACTTGGAGATCAACCAATGAACCAGTTTCTAACCAGAGCATTGCCATTTGCAAACAGATTTGCATGGGTAGTGCGTGGATAGGGGAAAAAGAGAAAGTAAAGTCTTGTCGTCGTCCTCAAGAGATTCGAGCACCCTTTTATCAAGAGTTTCCTTCATTATCGCAATCCACACTTTAAGGTATCGGCGCCATCCCAGATTCGACACTCATTTCTATGAAACAACACAAAGATTTGGGAATTCACACTGAAATGCTGGGGCACAACGTAGTTGATCTTATCGAGCTAGGAGTTGTTAACAATGCAAAGAAGACAGTCATGCCTGGAAGGGTGATCTATCAATATTGTAACAGATTTCTCACTTCTTTACAATAAAATACGAACGAAAATGACACTAATGTAAATCATTTTCTAGGTCGTAACGAGTTTTGCATTCGGTACTGAGAAGCTTTACGAATATCTTCATAATAATTCCATGTTTCGTGAGTCTGAGCTTTAAAATTACACGTGTCTCATTGCTTCTGTCTCGCTGTTTCAATTCATGAGTTACCAACGCTGTTTCAGATTTTGACTGCTGCGGCTGGACGAACCGTGCCGAGGTTATTCGGTCCAATTCGAGGATGACATCTATAAATTCGGGTATAGAAATTGACATCACTGGCCAAGTTGCCTCCGATTCGATTGGAACAGCGTTCTATTCAGGTCTTAATTTTAACTTTCCGCTTTTCTTTTTTGGCGTTAGTCAATCCTTAAGGAATGCGGCATGCATTCAACTTCATCAAGCATCGTAGAGGTGGTTGTATTTGCGATTGTTTGTCAGTGTATCAAGTCAGTGCTTCTATCCCCCCAAGCCAAGTCTGGTCTCAATTTTTCTGCTGCTTACGAATCAAAGCTTTATAAGCCCGTGGTGTGGGATCCAACCAACGGCCGCGTTTTTATTGCACGGCATCTTGAACCACTGAAATACACGCCTCTTCAGAGCAGTTGTTAGCAGCGCACTACAGCCCATACTTGGGCCTAGTTTCGATCCCGCATTTTGGGCAAAATCTTCTTTGCACCTGGTGATTCATTTCTAGTACGATGACAGAGCACAAAATTTATTGGAGTAACATGATGGTTAAAGAGAATAGGTGGCATATATTGCTACTTTACCATCTTAGTGACGATTTTCATACGCATGGGTTTCACAGAGTTTCGTGGTCCACAAAGTGCAGATTGTGCTAACCAGTCAGAAGTTCTCAAAAATTTCATTCTCTGCACTAAGTTAGACATCCTGGGTGAAGATTTTACACCATGGTACCATAACCCAACAGAAAACGAAAAATATGACGATTTTCTTCCATCATGCAGTGAGTGTGACACAGAAACTCGAAAAATATCGCGCTAAAAATACAGGGTTGTCTTTCCTCTACGGAACTGATAGCTTCCTCTAGACATGGACTAGACGTGGACATGAGTCTCCCAGCAGTATGGTCATATGGTTATCTACTATATTCTTTCAAATAAAAGATAGAGCCAGCTTTTTCGAAATTACGAGTGATACCATCCTTAAGTGATTCGAAAGCAAATTGTTTTAGAAGTGGGTAAACATTCTTGGTCACACAGCAAAAACGAGGGAAACGCTATGTACCGAGATAATTTTCATTGAGTTTTTAGTCGAATATAAATAGATCAGCGATGAAAACTCAACGTTGGTTGAAACATCGATGAAAATACTAGTTTTTTTCTTCTTTGTATGACCCTTCTTCCCGTCCACTGTTCGGATGCCAGCACTTCTCACATTCGACTCGTTTCCTGACATCCGTTATCCACGAAGATCTTCCAACTTTTACGTGTGGCTTCGGTTGCTGCTTGAGGATTTTCATTTCATCTTGAATGTCGTAGAATACTGGTCTAGTCGATTTTCCCTGGAGTCCTGAGATAGCCGGCCTGGAGGCTTTCCATTTGGACTGCAGAGAGTGATTTTTCCCCAGACAAGTCCGGTACCAATTTCTCGACCCCAGAGGAATGAGAGGTTTGGTTGGCCCTGAGTGGAATCCGAACTAGCATTATGCTCGTGATGACCAACATTACGACCGCTGTTCTATTCACCCTAGAAATAAATAAATGGACAATAAATGCTAGTTATTACAAAAAAATCACTCATGATCTTAGTGCTCGGTGTTGAAGAGCATTTAGAGAGGCATTTTTAACAGTTTATGAAAACGATTATGTTAAATGCAGTAGTAACAAGGGAAAGTCCAACGACATATTAATGTGCTCTTCAAATATGCAGTTTTTTTGGTAATAGCTACTTTCGAAGAAGATGGACTAGTTAAATCTCTGTGTAACGCGGATTTTCTAAGGTTTGCTCACCCACTTTCCTCCTAAGTAAATTTTAGTCCACGGAAAATTTGGACAACATAATTTCGCTTGTGAAGTATTACTTAGGACTATGAGTTTTCAGAATGCACACATGCCCGAATACGCATATATGGCCAAACATCAGTAAGCTGGACACAGCACGAGCAAAAAAATTCTCTGTGAAGGCTAGAATGTCGGAGTAGCTCTTCAGGAAACCAGAACTACTATGCAAAAAATTCAGAAAAACTGGATTAGTGTAGTCATAGGTAATAAGGTGTATCCACAGCTGGTATTACTTTCCAAATGTAATTGTGATATCTGCAGGGGAAGCGGTGTAAAGGGAAATGTACTAAAATCTTCATGTTCAGTTAGGGTGTGCGTACATAAGTGAGATGACCAATGTCATATTTCTGTGCCTCGTGATTTCCTGCTCTTTAATGAACGGATTCGTTAGCTATTATTATAAACAGCTGCACATATGCCTTAAGGATTCGGTGGACAAACTGACTTCGTAACCGCTACTCCTACAGCATATGATGGCTTGGGGAAATCCATTATGGCATTACCGTCTAGAACAAGCAGGGGACGGTCTAGAATTACGGTTGCTTTGACTACGGTTGGTGTTTTCAAGAAAAATCACTAAGAAGATGGTGGATGGTTAACGCAAGCATTAAGGTGCAGATGTGATCTCATGTGATTTTAGGGAGCCGGTGTAGTAACGACACGAGGACACACTCGCTACGTAGTCACCGAGCAAGGCATCGCCAGTCTCGGTGGAAAGAACGTCCGACAACGAGCCTATGAGTTAATAAAGATTGCTCACCCGGACGATCGAGAGCAACTGGAGAAGGCCTCATTTGAAAGGCTCAAATGCATGCCTTCACCTGATTAATATAGAGAGAGAGAGATTTATAAAGCGTTATATCTTTATCTTCAAGTCTCCTTAAGCAGCACGCATTAATTATCTAGAAAATAGGGCGGAAAATCTTAGATGAGATGCCACTTATTCAAATCCGATGGAAAGCATTTCTAAGCGGTTCGTTTTATGGTTGTTGTGGCTGGAATACCACATTTGGGAGTCAATAACAAAAAATAACGGATTTAGAAGTGAAGCCTCTTACTTTGAAAAAAAAAACAAAAAGGAGGTTGTTTTTTGTGTAACCTTCTACACTGATTATTTATATGGGCTCCAGCATATTTTCCATTCGTTTCTCTCTTGCGCAGTCGTCGTCTATAACTGTAGTCTGCTTCGAACATGGGAACGTCCACTAGGACCATTCCATAGTTTTGAAATCGTTCTTATCTGTGAATGCCGATGGTTCACGTTATCCAAGAACACGTTCGTTTGGGTGATCTTCCAAGAGTGCGCTTCCATTCTGTTGGAGTCCACTCCACTGTTCTTTTCGTCTATCTGTCACTGGTTCTTATTACAATATGACCGGTCCAAATGGGTTTCACTATTAATGTATATTCTCCTGGTTCCCGAAGATGGGATAGCTTTCGAAGATCTTAGCTCCTAGACGTTGGTGACTGCTGTTAAAGTTCAGAAGACATCATTCAAGTGCTATGTGGGTTGTGAACAGTATTGCTGACGTGGTTGACATATCAGTCCACATTTTTGCTGAATAACAGAGCGCTGGGAGTAACGTTGAATCGAATAGGTGAGAACGGATTTCTAGCTCCTTCAGTTGATTGGTGGCTTTTATGAGAGGCCCAAATGTGGTGCAGGTTGCTCTCCTTCTAAATCTTCCTTCATCTTATTTTTCATGTTCATTGAACGTTCATGGTACGGGTAGAAGGTGGTTTCTGTAATCAGAGAACCATCCAGTTCGATTTGTTCACCTCCGCAACATGGATTCTTCATGAACTGGGCTTTCGCCCTACTTATGTGCAGTCCACTCTTTTTTCCCGCTTCGTTGAGTTCACGAAGCATGGTCTCTGCTTTGCTGATACTACTCAAAAAGGTACGACGTCTTTCGCGAAACGAACATCTGATAGGAGTTTCTCACCAATACGTATACCTTTCTCGTCTCAATCGAGTAACTTCACTATCCACTGCAATGCAGTAATAAAAGATTTAGCGATATTGTGTCGCCTTATCGAAACCCTTTTCCTAGGAGTATGGTGAAGGGTCGTTAAAAAAGCTACATGTTTAAGCTGCAGTTCCGATAACAATCTGCTAGTGTTCTTATACATGGGTGGTCCACTTCTTGGTCGACGTGGATTGCATTCATCTCGACGCTGTCAAATGCTTTCGTGTAGTCGGTAAAGGTTTGGACAAAGGGCAGATGGAACTCGGAACAGACTTCTATGATCCGTGATACGGTTTGCTTGTGATCTATGCATCAATCCCTGTCGGAATCCTGTTTGCTCAACTGGTTGTGCCCTCGTCCAAGGACCTCGTATGCGTAAAGGGTAATTTTCGCGAACAGCTTGTAGATAGAGAGATAGATATATTAGACGATGGTGATGAAGATCCCTTCGGTTAGTTCCTTGGAAAAGACGACCATTCGCCAAGTCCCCACTGGTTTGGGATTTTCTTCTTCTGAAGATAAGATGCCATGTGGATTGCGAGTACATGTAATTCGTGACCCTCAGTTCTAAAGAAGTCGGTGGCGATATTACCAGGTCCTGGAGCTGTACCTCTCTTCATGCTTTCTATCACAACTCGAACTTCAGAGGTTAGAATCTCTTCTCACCATCAGGGATTTTGGAGTCCGAGACGGGTACTATGGTGCGGAAAAAAATTGGCATAAATGTTCTCAGTTATCAATTTCATATTAGGCTCATTGTAGTGACAGTCCCATTTTCTTAATAACTCGAAAGACCGACTTTCTATAAACCTCGGCATAGATAGTTAATATATTTATTTATGTGATCTTATAAGCTGATCCTAAGCTGACGCGAGGTTGGTACAGATCCTCGTCGTTGTCGTTGTTTTTGATGTTATTGATCGATGGCCGACGTTTCGGCGACTCCGCCTTCCTCAGAACCTGGACGTATTTAATATTAAATATTTTTATTATTCGGTGGAAAAGAAAGGTTAAAGTTTTAATGAAGATCAAACTTTCAAATAGACACCGCTTTGAACAGAAAGGCCACTCATCGTGATGTTACTTGCGGGACTGGCCCACGCGTAGTTCACGTGGGGTCGCGAGCAAGACACGGCCCGGGGACAAAATATCATTTTGAAATAGGGCGCCAGGTCACGCGTGATAGTGAGGCAATCGTCCTTCCGGTTCATCTTTGGATTTTTGAAATTTATCCAAAACGCCTCAAGAGTTTTGCGCGTTGATGTTTTCGATCCCTGCGCTAGGATCCGCAAATTCACTTCAAAATCATTGCTGTTGTGCTTTTGTGCCCTATGCGTACCTAGAGGGGTGTTTAAACGGATTTTAGCTTTTCCATCTAGATGTTCTTTTATGCGGACACAAAGTGGTCTACCCATTTCCCCGATATATTCCTCGCCGCATGCATTACATGAGATTAAGTATATTATTCCTAAACTCATGCAATTCCCGTCTCTCCCGTTAAGACAGATCATACAGTTTTCTGAGCTGCACAAACGACCATAGAGACGGTNCCTTCCTCAGAGCCTGGACGTATTTTATGTTAGAATACTTTTTATTATTCGGTGGAAAAGAAGGTTAAAGTTTTAATGAAGATCAAACTTTCAAATAGACACCGCGTTGAACAGAAAGGCCACTCATCGTGATGTTACTTGCGGGACTGGCCCACGCGTAGTTCACGTGGGGTCGCGAGCAAGACACGGCCCGGGGACAAAATATCATTTTGAAATAGGGCGCCAGGTCACGCGTGATAGTGAGGCAATCGTCCTTCCGGTTCATCTTTGGATTTTTGAAATTTATCCAAAACGCCTCAAGAGTTTTGCGCGTTGATGTTTTCGATCCCTGCGCTAGGATCCGCAAATTCACTTCAAAATCATTGCTGTTGTGCTTTTGTGCCCTATGCGTACCTAGAGGGGTGTTTAAACGGATTTTAGCTTTTCCATCTAGATGTTCTTTTATGCGGACACAAAGTGGTCTACCCATTTCCCCGATATATTCCTCGCCGCATGCATTACATGAGATTAAGTATATTATTCCTAAACTCATGCAATCCCTGTCTCTCCCGTTGAGACAGATCACACAGTTTTCTGAGCTGCACAAACGACCATAGAAACGGTTTACCCTATGCCACCAGTTAGTTCGAAACCGTCTCTATGGTCGTTTGTGCAGCTCAGAAAACTGTATGATCTGTCTTAACGGGAGAGACGGGAATTGCATGAGTTTAGGAATAATATACTTAATCTCATGTAATGCATGCGGCGAGGAATATATCGGGGAAATGGGTAGACCACTTTGTGTCCGCATAAAAGAACATCTAGATGGAAAAGCTAAAATCCGTTTAAACACCCCTCTAGGTACGCATAGGGCACAAAAGCACAACAGCAATGATTTTGAAGTGAATTTGCGGATCCTAGCGCAGGGATCGAAAACATCAACGCGCAAAACTCTTGAGGCGTTTTGGATAAATTTCAAAAATCCAAAGATGAACCGGAAGGACGATTGCCTCACTATCACGCGTGACCTGGCGCCCTATTTCAAAATGATATTTTGTCCCCGGGCCGTGTCTTGCTCGCGACCCCACGTGAACTACGCGTGGGCCAGTCCCGCAAGTAACATCACGATGAGTGGCCTTTCTGTTCAACGCGGTGTCTATTTGAAAGTTTGATCTTCATTAAAACTTTAACCTTCTTTTCCACCGAATAATAAAAAGTATTCTAACATAAAATACGTCCAGGCTCTGAGGAAGGCGAAGTCGCCGAAACGTCAGCCATCGATCAATAACATCAAAAACAACGACAACGACAACGAAGATCTGTACCAACCTCGTGTCAGCTTAAGATGATCAGTTTATAAGTCCCATTTTCGTTCATCAGGGCGGATGGTGGGGCATTATAGTCGCAACGTCCCAGAAGGGCACTTCAGACTAGATCGTTTCTGAGCTGCTTCCAATAACTTTTTATGCCTTTTCCGATGTAAATCCTCCTACGAAAATCTCCTACAGCTGGCATTTATTATCAGCCGTGTTACGTATGTTGCAGTGGAATCATGCTTCAGTGTCCTTCTTTTTTCGAACAACTCCTTAGTGCTAATGGAGATGCGGTTCGAGCTTCCTGTTTAGGGTACTGAGGCAAGCTCGGAGCAAGTTTGAAGTCGTTTGACAAGTCGTCAGTCGTCAGGCGCGTTGTTCTCGGTCTTCATTTATCTGCGGGTCATATGAAACGAGGATTTTATTGAGAATATCCTCATCATATACGACTCCTTTCACTTTTCTTGGACGATGACAGTTCTTTTTCAGCTTATGGGTGAGTCAGACATCCGAACAGAGGAGGCATTAATGAGAGCCAATACAGAATCCAGGTGTCAAAGAGGGACTATCTTTTGTTCGTGAGAATGTGATCGATCTCCGCATGAGTCATGCCTTTAGGAGACTCCCATTGTCCATCGGCAATTTTCTCCTTCCTTGAAAAACAAATATCCATAGGAGGAACGTGCTACGAAACAAACGTCCTACAAAACGGTTTCCATTCTCATTTCGTTTTATTCCAAGTTTGCCTATTCTGTACTCATTGTCGCTCGCCGCTCTTAATCTTTTGTTGAAGGTTCGAACGGCGAATTTGCATAAAGACTTCTCATTGTAGACTACTTCCTCCAACTGGTTGTAAAACTTGTCCGGTTCGCTCTCATTAGCTGTCACCAGCCTATGACTGAAACGAAAATATTAGATGTTACCTACGTTCCTAGAACTGAAATAATAAAGAAGACAAGTCGGTTCCTGGAATACATTCTTTGCAATGGAGAAGGAATTGAAGTAGACGGTGCTTAT